ACCGGCCAACCCCATTTTGCGAATATCGTTTCTGTGAATTCTGGCAGTAAGTGCCATTCTGGAGCCTGACGATGGCGTGACAGGTGATCTGCATGGCCGTTGAATTTTCCGGGTATGTAATGAATCTTGAATACTATCCGATGATTGTCTAAGATCCGAAGAATTTTGTATGTCAGTTTTAAGAGACCCTGGGATTTCATTCCGCCCTCGTTCCGGAGATATGCCACTGCTGTTCGATTGTCCGACTGAATCAAAATTGATGCCTCCTTCAAGTGCGGTGCATGGACTTTGAGGACTTTTAGAATAGCCAATAACTCTTTCTTGTTGCAGTGCAATTTCTGTTCTGTTAAACTCCAAGTCCCCGACAGAGCCAGGTTGTTTATTTGTGCTCCCCATACCGTGTCCGAAGCATCGGTGGTTAAGAAAAATGTTGGTGGAGGCAGATGTATTTGTGTCTTTTCCTGATAATTTTGTAGCCACCAATACATTTCTCTCATCACTTTGCGGGGTAGGCTGTGTTTTCTGGAAGTACTTGCTTTGGGTAATGTGTTTAGAAATTCGAGGGTGGCTCTGTGATTCAGTCTGCCTCGAGGGATAACAAAGCTGGCAAAATTTAAGAGACCGACAATGCTTTGCAGGTCTTTCACAGATACTTTGCCTATTTTTAATATCTGAACAACTTTTCGTTGGATTGAGAAACATTTTTCGGGGGGCAAACTCTTGCGGTTGTTCCTTGTATTCCAAATTATACCCAAGTAATCGATCTTCTTTTGGGGAGTGAGAATAGACTTTTTGTAATTTATTACGAAACCCAAGTAAGTCAGCGTTTTTACAACAGTGTTGACGTGACTGGCTAGAATAATCGGGTCCTGATTCACTATAAGATAATCGTCTAAATAGACAATTATTCTTATATTCTGCTGTCGCAGAGTTTGAGCGATCCAATTCGTAATGCACGCGAATGTTTTTGGTGCAGTGCTTAGTCCGAACGGGAGACATGTCATTTCTAGTAACTCTTCGTTGTAAATTAGACGCAGAAACCGTCTGTGGGATTTTGCTACTGGCAGATAGTATGCATTGGACAGGTCCAACTTGCACATCCAGTCCCCCGGCTGGATGAAATCCGGAATTCGATACATGTTTATTAGTCGAAAACGATCGGTTAGCACATAATGATTTAATCTCTTTAGGTTGAAAATGGGACGGAATGATCCGTCGTTTTTTGGTATTAAAAACAGGGGTGAATATCTATCCCTTGGGATAGATACACCACGCGATGGTATAGCATGAGAATTTTGTCCTTGCGAAGGACGACGAGTAGTGCTGGCGGGTTTTGCTCGCGAAGCATTCCCGGTGCCAGTTTTATTCACTGGCCAAAAAGTTTTTCTGACACCCCCAAACTTCTCAAGAGTCATCGTAAATTGCTCGGCGTTAAACAGGTGAGTATTTGACGGGGGAATCTGATTTAAGGCAGTCTTCATGAGAGGGTCTCTAACGTTTTTAAGAATACCTGCCCTTCTCATTTCTATAGTTTCCGCTCTATGGCCGCATACTAATTGTAAAATATCATTTGATATTTTTGGATAATCGCCATTCAAAAATATTTCCTTGATTTTATCATTAAGATTATTAAGAGAGGCATCAGCTGTTTGAGACCAGGTTAGTAAATTTCGCAAGCAATCGACAAAAAGTTCTTTTTGTTTTAATATGCCAAAAGTTATAGCAGCATAAGTCTTGTCAGAATAAGCTAAGTGGCGTATGGTATCATATGGTTTTACCATTTCATTTGTCTCCAGTTCTATAAATCCAGGTGCGTGGTTATATAATTTTTGTGTATCAGAATAACGAATATCAGACCATGTCACCTTATCAAACCTTTGCACTTCATTTAACAAGTTCAAATATTCCGTTGGTGTATGAGGTACCACCGGATCTTTTAATTTAGTTTCAAAATCAAAATTCAAATCAACGTCACCCACGGAATTATTTAAATCATCAACAGTAACAGGAATATATTCATTATAAAGATTACCACTAGCGTCTGATACAGCAGAAACATTGTCGTTATCGTAATTATTGTACTTATAGTTCATAACACTTTTCTTAAGTTCGCCCACTTCTTTAGATAATTTTTCTAAAATTTGACGGTTACGAATATGTTTCTTTGAACGATGACGACGTGTCTTCTTTTTCCTTTTCGAATTACGCTGAGAATCAGAAGAACTAGACGTTGAAGAGGTACTACTACTACTGTTGCTACTTGATGTGGTAGAATTCCGACGATGACGCGATCGCGGTTTATTAGATGCATGACTGACGTCAGAACCACCCGCCATTTGCAATTCAGCACAATTTTCTGTTTTATCATTCATCATAACACTAATATCGAATTCTTATCTAAAACAATCAAAATAATAATAATAATAATAATAATAAATAATAATGCTAATCCGGGGTAGCAAAGACCGAGAATTCGAACTCTATTGGAGTTGGTTGGTACCTTCAAGTTTGATAAAATTAACACCTCGAATTCCCAATTCAATTTCGTATAATAATATTAGCGAACGGTAACACCGTTTAATAAAGAGAAGTTTTAAGTACTCACATGTATTGTAGAAACACACGATAATGATACTATTTGAACAATAAAATCACTTAAAATTATTAATCCACTGACTATTCCGACGGGAAACTTCACGCCAATGACAAACAAAATGGCGCGTACGTGACATCTGCAAACACTTCACCGCGCCCCGCCAGGTAACGCCACTGAGCGCGAATGTGCAAAAGAGACGCCGCTATAGCGAAGACAGAGAAGTAAAATTCGACGGGAAACGGATATGCCTATCTCAATATTTTAAGCTTCTAATTACGGTCAAGTTGTTTAACACACAGTATATTCCTCAGATTCGAAGATGAGTAGATAAGCCCACGTATTATGGAGTTTCAGAGACAATGAAGGTACCACAACACCCAGACCCAAGGAATATAGAGAATTCATTTTTCTACACCACTCGATTACGGAGGTCGTCAAACTGAGAAAATAATTTCTAGCTAATAGCAATAAGGCCGCCATGTAGTGATAATTATCTTATTAATATTTTAATAAGATAATTATCACTACATGCTATGAAGGAAATAAACACTAAGTATAAATTGAGATCTATATTGATTCTTAAAAATAAAGTATAAAGAATTAATAATTAAGAATATTCAATTTAGTTTTATGATAGCAATAATGTGGGCGACAATATAATAATATATCAATTAATTAAAATTATATATTAAAATCATATATAATTTATAATAAATGTCAGTTAAATCATTTCAAACATACGACGCTCCTCTTTAGATTTTAATAAAAGCATTCAAATCTGTTATTATTTTAGACGAATCATGTCATAATTATTTAGAATAATTTTCTAAATAGAAAGATATTTTTTTTTTTATATCGCGTCTTAATTTTTCTGTAAAATATGATTTTTTTGATTTCTGGTTGTATTCAATGTACGTAGGTATATATTTAACGTACTTCCAGGGCAGATTTTAAAATAGTTTTTATTATTTAATGTGATGTATAATAACTTTACATAAATTGATTACAATAATTAAACATGGTCAAGAGGAGCAGTTAAAATTATTTATTACAAAATAAGAGTAGGTATTTTCAATAAAATTCATTTTCAACTATATACATACATAAAAATAGGTATCAAATCTGTAAAAAATCACATAAGACATGTCAATAAATCCGATCATGAGTATAAATCAAATTTTTATTTTGTTGTCGGTTAATGTTTCATAGAAGCTATATTGTAATTTTTAAATCATAAAAAAATGTAACAAGGATTTGAAAACACCAACTCTGATACATGGTCTTGATCTTGATTACTTTAGATTTTTTAAGAAATAAAATATGGCAAATTAAGATTGGAAATTTGTCATATTTTTTATATAAATTTCAATTTTCAACACATTTTAATTAAAATTATCACTTAAAATATTAGCTATAATACAAATTAATAAAACAACAAAACTTTGTAACATCAAATGTCAATACATAATATTTGCTCAATGATATTTGACGACATATACTTATTAGATATTAATTAGTTAAATCTAAGTCATACATTAAAAAAATATATATTTTGTTATAAAGACAAAACATAAGAAATAGAATTCTCTTTAGAAAATTCGACCTCTACACGTAAACAGTTGATCCTTGTAATGCTGAAAGTGATCAAAGTAACACTATGTTATTGTTTTGGCGTGAGGGATCTGTTCTTATCAAATAACAAAATACACTGCCTAGTAGAGGTGACTGTTTCTGCTCTGTTATGGTTTTAATAGTCCATTAAGCCTTTGCTAACAAACTGAAATTTGTGACAGAAAGTGAAGTTTACAATAAAGCAGTCTTTGAAGACTACCATTACACATAATTAACTATTATTTAATCAGCAGCTTGAAGTGTATAAAATTTACTTGATGAGAATATCAACTGTGTAACAAAGATGAAGATCATTTCTGATGTTATTCAACAGGTTTATAGTTTCATAGTTAAAAGGATCATCTGTCATCGAGTAGCCGGGCGCGGGAGAAGTCCCGACAAAAGTCATGAACAAATAGATGAATCTAATTTTGTAGCTCCGCTTGAGTGCCATTTACCAATGATGTTATAATATATAGATCTTTTAAAAATTAAAATAAAGTGATTTTATAGGATTACTCAATATGTATTTCTTTACTACATGGCTCAGTCACTAATTTTTTGGTGAATGGTGAATCATTATACAATTAAAACAATTCTTAGATGGTGTTCATATGAAAAAAAAAACTTTAAATTTGAACAGATTTTTTCAATTTTGTTTTTGCTATAAATGAAGTTAATGATACTGAGCCATATCTAATGAAATCGTATGTTTATTGATATAATCCTATATTGTTGTCTTGACGAAAATCATGACAACATTATGCAAACTTAGGCAATACGAACGTAAAATTCAAGCGGGCAAGTCAAAATTTGACACGTTTATCTGTGGCACATGGGCCGGATCAATTTTGGGTGTGGTCTTGTAGTCGCAGATACCCAGCTCCTTTAATTTCCACTCCCAACCCATCATCTGCACTGCGTGTAGAGTTTCAACCTCTGTGTTCTGCCGTCGAAGCATTCCTACCTGTTAACAGTCGACTCGTTACATATAGGCGGAACAACCGGACTATATTAGACTTTTTAAATTTCTTTAAAGCATAGCTATGACACGACCACATAATTCTAACAAAGACGCGAATCAAATAGAGATGGCAAACATGTTGCTTGTTCTATTATGTGGCAAATAAAAAAGAGAAACAACGCACGTCTTCACAACATACTAATTCAACTGACAATTACTTTGTTAAAATAATAAGGATGACGACAAATTTTCTATTTGTCCGTCACATAGATTGTTGAAAAATATTAAACAAGCATGTCGCATCATCTTTACGAAGATCGTTTGATTTAGTTTCTTTTATTTTAATTGCTAGTTACTCGATTACTTAATTACTCGATTGTAGAGAGAGCGCGATCATCGATACCATTAATTTTATTAGAATGGTGACACTGACTTTGACAGTTCGTTAATAAACAGCAAGTTGCCGCCATTTTGGCACACATTCTGTTTCCGATCGCCGAGGAGTAAAGACATCCGACGACATCACGCTCATCTCGTTATATTTTCGTATGAAGAGATAAAATGGAACAAATCCACGTTGGTATACACGCCTGCAGTGTTATTTTAAAGATAGTCCTCCGATAAGGACGATCTATTTGGGCTTCGTAAAAGCCACTTCTAACTACCCGCCGACAAGTATTTTTTTCGTTATTACGGCGATACATTGAGTTAAAATGTTACATGACGTAACACTTTTGTACATTTTCTACAGATGTCTGTTATCTAAGCTGTTTCTTGTTGAATTGAAGTAAATAAATATGTACCTCATATTTTTCTGTTATCTGATCGACGGACTAAATAGAATTTACCGTTAATTTGGCCTTCTAATTTGATTAAGTTTCATTACCTTGATCTTTTCCCATTTGTCATCAACCTCCTGAAGCCAGGAGTTGATTTGTCTACCGTTGCATCGGGAGCGCTGAGCGTTGCGTTTCTCTTCCTGCTCTGGAGCCAATACATTGTACACTTCGTTGTCACGCAGCATAGTACACACAGAGAATGGGAGAGCCTGTAAATTTACACCATTATCAATATTTTTTACAAAAGAATGCACAAAAAAAAATAGCAGTGACATTTCTATTTAAGCTGTCATATTATACTTCACGAACTTGATTCGCAACAGCACGTTCGGCGCGACCGTGAACCCTCAATATTTCTTGTTCAACAGCCAACACAAGTTTCTCTTTTTCTACTAGATGTTGTATACGCAGCCGAGTTCTGAAAAATATTTATTTTAGTGTAAAACTTCAAAATTCCAAACCAGTATGTTGGAGATTTCACGTAGGCGATGATAACGAAACAAAACACAGATTTGAGAATAATTAAAATATGCTTTATGTATGCTATGCATACAAATCATCATCATCATCATCATCATCATCACCAGCCTTTTTACGTCCCCACTGTAGCGGCTCAGGCCTTCCTTATGGATGGTTAAGGAGGATGGGCCATGAACCTCCACGCTGGCCCAATGCGGATTGCAAAATGCAGCAGGGACCAACGGCTTAACGTACCTTCCGAAGCACGGAGTAGCTCGAGATAATAATTTTTGGTCACCCATCCCGTGACCGACCTTTGCGAAAGTTCTTCAAAACCTTAGTCTGAATAGAATATATCTTACCTTTCCTTTTCCTGAGCAATAAATTCATTCACCATTTGCGTTGGGAGATTAACTGGTATATCAATCTGCGGCTCTGGATTAACGTTACTTTGAAGAGTATAGGTGCACCGATTCATTAAGTATTTATTGAAATCTTTAGGTGGTTTCGGTTTCACTGGAAATAAGCTTCTTTGACGCCGGTCAATCTAAAACGATATTCTTATATAGTTTGAAATATCATTACATATCTAATTGCCAATTAAAATTTGTAGTACCATTAAACTTACCTGTTTGCGAATGTGAATATACATTTGATAAGGGTTGGAATGTGTTATGTTGTGACTGGCACTGGTACTATCTGGAGCCGGATCGTTCTTCGATGTGTCTCGGGAATGACTATCTTTGGATGCTTTTATTTTTCTCTTCCGAGGATGTAGTTCCACAGCAGCATCTGAAATAGTGACTTAAGTTGAATAAGACGCACATACCGACTTTACAAAAAAAAAACAATAGATATATAACTATGATTGAATCAAAATAAAGTTTTTAGAATTAGTTATTGTAAAGTTATATTGTAACTTACTTGACTCAGATCTGCCCCCGCTACTTGTAGACGTAGAATGATCTCCATCCTGACCCTGAAACAAAACAAACGCATCGATTTCATAACAATACACTCAACATAGAGACATACATAAAGGAAATATATTGACAAGCTATCTAACCTTCTGACGTGCCTTTTGGAACAGACATGTAAAATGAAGTAAGACAACATATTAGCTCTTATTCGCTACGATAGTAAATTTCATAAATATAACCACATGACATTTTCATCACATCTTTCACTTTTGTAAAACTAGTTTAATAAGAAACCGACTTACAGAGCCCGAGGGTGTTGGACTTTTATTGGAATTCAGAGCTGACTGATTCTGTCCGGACCCTGAGCGACTGTCGGAGCCTGTCTGCGGGGAGGTCCGTTCCTTGTCTTTTTCTTTATCTCCATCGTTCGTCCTATGCGAACGAAGTACTCTTTGTCCAGCCTTAGGAAAAAATATGAGAACATAGAGGCTTGCTTTCCATTTCAAAATTTGTACACAGAGATATTATAAGTATTTTTTAATTTATTTTACATCGATCCACAGAACAAAAACACTGAACAGTACCGAACGGAAAGTAATACAAATATTATAAATAAACATATCAGACAGTAAAATAAAAATCTAGCAGCAGTTTTACACAAGAACGAATGAATGGTATAATGAAAATGTTTGCTACTTGCTTGTCGGCGTGGCTCTGTTTGCTTGTAAAAAACAAATTTTAATATACTGTAAAGTTTTCAATACTTGTTCAATTATTCCTATTATTGAAACGGTATTTCAATAAAAATCAGCAAGGTTCTATATTTTAATACAAATATATTAAAGTTAGTGGGAAATCCTAAACAGCGGTTGCAAAATGATGATAAATGAGGGTAGATATCTAATCATAAAAGTTATTTATCCGCTACATTGTATTATACCATGACTGTAATAAGAATGTATTATTTAATACAAAGAAAATATATTCTGTGAATGGGTTAAAGTTACACACGGGCATAACACGCGGTCGATCCATTGTAGTGGGCCTAAAAGACTAAATTTATCATTTGTTTTCCTGCTTGATACATTCACAGCACGGTCATGGTATGGCACGAGTAATGGATAAATAATTCCTTAAAATAATGCGTCGGTCGATTTGTTGTAGTCTAAAGAGGCTAGTTTACACGTAATTAAGTAGTAAGTAGATTTTAAGTGATTAAGTACGCGTAAAAATGCAATGAGTAATAATTAGCAAGTTAAAATTGATTTCTAACTAAGCTCATAAATACTTAACTAAATTTTAACTAGCTACTTGTTACTTATTTGTGTGATGACACGTACTTAATTATTTAGAATAATACTTATATTAAAAGCGACTTCATTATAAAAAAAACTCCTCGCAAGTCGGACGGTTATCATTTAATAATCTACAAAAAACCTCAGCCAGACTCTAATAGCAGTTTCTTGAATATCGAAGTAGCTTTTAAGAAAAGTGTTTATTTCTCAGTTTTGATAAAAGAAAAGCATGATTTTTAGTGACACTGAATATTTTATTAAACATGGAACTTTCTCCAATGGATATTGATTGAATACAAAATACCCTTTTAACTTTTTTTATTGTCGCTGATATAAACGTGTCCTCTAAATGTTTGGTGATATTTGGTGAATATTTTGTTTTGTTATAAAAACAAAACTACGATTTCAATTAAATTTATATGGGGCCACATCGGACCCGCTGTATTAAATAAGCTGTCTAAAGATTCATTAAACTCAGTTCATAAACTACGAATTTATCCGCGAACAAACAAAAAATATTCCTTCTTTGGAGTCTGTTAACAATTAAGTAAACAATATAGGTACTCACTACTATTTACTTAATTACGTGTAAATCAGTCATGAGTGCCAGAGTGCATGACGTCACAGCATTTTAAAACTTGCGCGCTCGTACAAGGTGTCGTACAGACTCGTTTTTTCGCCGTTGCCTATGCCTTTGTCTATGGTGTTCCTGGCAAGCCTAGGCTAGGATTAGTGTTATATTGGTATCTTTTAAAACGGCACATGCACGGCCGACGCGTTCTATATGTCGTGGGCAGATCGTAGAATTGATCAATAAACGATGTGGACGGCCATTTCTTGTAATGTTTGTATTTCACGAAATGGAAAGAACTTGCTGCACACATTATGTTATATAACAAATTAAAGAAAGTAGGGTGTCCAAGCAACGACAACAACAAACCAAAAATCAATTAGTTGATTAAATTTAGTGAGATAATTGTAGAAGGTGGACTATTCTAGTTTTATGGATACGAAGATTGTGATAAAGACAGAATGATGTGGGTTTTAACTGTATATGATGCTGATATTAATAAATAACTTACATAAAAAATAGCATGCTCCAAAATTATTAGAAAATGTGGTATGCTATTTTTAAATAAAACACAGTTTTTGCATTTTATTTTTTCAAAATCTACGAATTAAAAGAACGGAAACTTAACATAACTGATTGATTTCGCTAGAAAATTTAAAAATGATGGTTGTTTAATATTAGGGTCAGTTTATCAAGGTAATTATTATTTTTTGGATTGAATTATCATAGTTATTATCCCAAAAGTATCTGATATTTATTCATAGTTACTGGCAACCCTTTTTAAAATACAGAAAGGCATTCATAATACAGGTGTAGACAGTAAACGAATATATATATTAAATATTTTTATATAAGCATTTAATATTACCGATAATTACACTTTAATGCATATTTCATGCATAATATTGCTTAAACTTATTAAAAAAAAAATGTTTTATGCGTTAATATTTTTTAAATACTGTTTTAAATATTTTTCTTGTATAACTATGAGATAAATATATTAAAGAAAGTTGTGTACACCCCTGTCTTCTGTTATACTAAACTAATAACTTGAATAATTTTTATTTTTAAATGTTTAAAATCATAAAAAGTAAACAAAAGAATTACCTGTGAAATCACATTAAACAAGAAGAGAGAAATGAAAACATTTTTTTAAAGAAAATGGGGCTTTAAATTTGTTTTTTTGTTTTTGTGAGTCCATGCTAGACAATTTGCCTCTATCAGAAAATAAAACATATTCGATAGTTGCTTAAATATAATTCCCCTTTAATGACAAGTCCTAAACTACAAAAAGAGTTTATGTGGTGTTTAAAAATTATCAAGGTATGTTTATCAAGATAATTATCGTGATAATTGTCAATGATAATTATCACTCCGAACCCGATATTAAAATATAATCATGATGAAAGTTTTAAAAAACTTTTCTCAATACAGGACAAACCAAGTGAATGGGCGAGCATGTACTACCTTGTTTTTAAACTTTTTTATAACTACACATGAGTTGCGCTCGGTCTCGTCTTCAACCACAGAAAAAGAAAAAAGCCTGAAGGAGAGGCTTTTTTCTCGCTTACTACCTGAATATCAGCGTCGATTGTTGCTGATAGGGATGCTGAGAGGCTTTTTTCTCGCTTACTACCTGAATATCAGCGTCGATTGTTGCTGATAGGGATGCTGATATTAAAAAAAATGCTGATAATCAGCGGATGTTGTTACTGATATTTGCAACAACGTTGCTGATGATGATAAAAATATATTCGAGGATATTAAAGTTTTTGAGATATGAATTGAACTAAATTTACTATACGGATTCACTACTGTAGGTCACATACTCGTAATAGGTTATTTTTTTTTTCAGACCACAAAATCATAAAGCTACCATACCGTATAAATAAGTTATTTCAGCAAATAATAAAAAAATTTTTGACACCCTACTTGAATGGCCAAATGTGGATTGCCATATCATCAAACGTTGACGCTAAACGAAGTGATCAATTTTAGGTTGCCGTTTCATGAAATGATCAATTCTACGACATGGTCACGACGTATACACCATGCCTACTTCTCGCCGTGAATGGTCTATATGATGTGGTATGTTGTATGGCAGCTATGGGGGTCTGTACACACAACCCCCATAGACTGCCATGTACAACTGTGTATTTTCACAGTGGCAATTACTATACAGACAATCTTTCTACACTTTTTTATTTGTACTGGATATTTATTTATTTTATTAATACAGGATAATCCATAATACAGAATAAAACGTTTGACGTGTCAATTATAATATGATAAAACTTATTTTATTGTTGGTTGTTTTTGACAAATGCATAGTTTTTTTCTGATTTGTAATTTTATGTATTCGAAAACTTGCTACCGATTCTTAACTGCCTTATTTGTTCTAGTCTACAATGGTCAAAACTAATTTTCCTTTGTTTATAAGAATATCTCTGCAGCTCGTTATGGAGACTCAGCTGCATTTTTTCAGCTGGTTTGCAGTTATGTACAAGCTCTCACGGTTTGTAACGTAGGGAAACCGTACCATGTAATACAAGCGCGCTAAAACGAATTAAATTTATGATGCTCTGGGTCCGCAACTATAATATACATGCTATAGTATAAATAAATATACTTTATCGGCATGTAAATCAGTATTAAAGGATAACAAAATATTCAACCACAACGCAGTCGTTAGATGCAGAGTAGTACATTCTACCTGGCTGACAGTTGGCTCTCCGCATTTTATAATTATATATTTGCGTTCATTGAACTTGTGGCTACATTTATCTCATCAAACTACCGTCCCACGAAAATCAATGTCAATCCTGAATGAAGCTTAAAGTGAACTTACGAGATGGCGTTTCGTTGCCTAAAACGCACTTACTAAATTTCGCCACAAATTAATATACAACTTCTAAGCTAAATCGGTAACATACAGTTCGGACCATAACAGGGTTATTGCATAAGAACTTTCCGATTCTAAAAACTATTGAAAAAATATATAGTTCAGAATAAATAAACGATTTTTCTTATTCTTTGATGGCCTATAAGGGCTTCACTTTAAAAAAACCAGCCAAGACTGAGTGGGGCGCAGAGGATTTGCACAAGTATTAAATCTATAAACATTGAACTAATTTCTGTATTTTTATTTTATGCCCAGAAGAAGCAGGATATGGTCAATTTTCCTCTATGTTCAAAATATTCCAAATTCATTTATTAATATTATATGTACGGATATCTTAGGTTGGTTTTACAGTGACGCGTTTGTCAGATCGTTACATAGCAAAATAAACCGCGCGGATGGCCCGCGCGGACGGTGTTTGGTACGCGCTTGACAACCGCGCGCGGGTAAGGAGCCACTATTTGCCAATACGCGTTACACAGTCACGCAGATTGAACGCGCACACATGCAGGTACAAGTCTCATTGCGACTTTACAAGGTGGCAAACCGCGTGACACTGATCTCATTTTATAGATTCGAGCGCGTCATCCAAGTGCTTGCGAATCGCGCTTACCACCCGCGCGGACGGTACGCGTCACTGTAAAACCAGCCTTAAGAGCATATGTATTATGCATGTATATTTAAGTAAAGCATTATTTTTCTGATCTCGACTTGTGATTTGAATATTTAAAAACAATTCAAGGCGCAGCCAGGAAATAGATACTATTCTGCGGTGCGACTTTGGTTAAATATTTGTAAACGCGCCTTACCGGTCGTATATGGCTGAGACGTCACATGTATTCACGGCCGCAGTAATCGAAATATTCAATCAATCATCTACGTAATAGGGATGAAGACCAAAATTTTTTGTTGTTCTTCAGGTAGATTGTTGAAAAATATTAAAAATTAAATAATGGCGATTCACTAAGTTAAAATTTCACGCTTTTGTACATTTTCTGTAAAACTGTTATGTAGTGAGCCCCCACTTCTCAACTTTAATGCATGTTATCTAAGCTATCTCTTGTTAAATTAAAGTAAAAAAAAAATATCTAATATTATTGTATTATTTGACTGACGGATTAAATAGTCTTACTTTTTTTTTAATCCCGTTATCATCCCTATTAATCAGCCGATTTACATTATAACACTGTGATTAAAAAATCGACTACCATTGTCATTGTCTCTGCATTCTGATGTGATTATTTCTGATAAAAGTTGTTCGTATAATGTCGTTTAATAATGTTTACGTAAGCAACTTACCTTTCCACCGTCACCAGCGCGTTTGTCTTCGCAGTTACCATCAGAGCTGTCCGACGTTTGCCCCGTGTCGTTGCTTGTACAAGGAATGACATAGGGTAACGTTGATACACTGCCTCGACCTTTGCCGCCACCTCTCTGGCCCGAACTACCTGTAGCGGAAAAAAACGTTGAGGAACAAGTAAAAATAAAAAAGTTTTCACACATGATTCAACGAATGTGGTGGGGGCACACGACACCGGGATTATTACTCAACATACCATCACCTTCTTGTTCATTCCTGTTGCCTGAGCCACCGGCTCCGCCTGGTATTACGATCTTAAGAGGAGGTACTTTCGGAGCGGCCGACTCGCACTTCTGCTCCTCCGAATCACCATCGTTGTCCTTACCGGAATTTGGTTTAGGACTCGCGACCGGACTCTTCCTATCTTGTTTGCTTGCTAGTGAGCCACCTGAACCCTTTGATCCACCAGATGATTTTCCCTAAATTTGAAAAATATTATTGCCGTCATATAAATTAACATACAGGGTCATTTCAAAGACACCAATAAACTCACAGAACTATAGTCTATATATAGCTAACATATTTTATGTTGTGTCATAGGGGGAATGATTTATGTATTGTTTTTGCCACTTGCCACTTGACAGGTGGCAGGGCGAATGTGGTACTCTTCATCCAAACGGACCCGCCCGAAGGCTACTCCAGATTTTAGAGATTTTACTGGGTAGTAAAATCCCTTCGATGCACCCTCACTTTTATGTTCTCACCAGTGCTCCATACCCAGCTCCCGACTATAGCTAACATCATAAATATTAAAATTTGTTCTACGACTTTTGATAATAGTTAATTTTATAAGTCTAACGACAGAAGATATCTATAACCCTGCAAAGTTGATGTAGTTTTACAAATATCCCTGAATATTATAGAAAAAAAAGGTTTTCCTATAAATGGTTTATATTTGAAGTGAAATTAGATTGACGTCAGTGATCTCGTCGATTTGAAGACTGTTAATACAATGTTTATTTAAAAAGAAAAACATCTTTTTGTAACCGCACTTTTAACGGAACAATGCTGTTTGATGCATCGTAAAAGTTGAGCTTTTATTGTCAAATTGTATTAACTTTAAGTGTATTTGAAGCAAGCCGATGCCAATCAAATAGAAGCCAACCAAGTGACGTGGTACACCTTCAGATGTCCATTTACCATATCCAGCTCGATGTTTTTTTTTCTTTGCCTGCTTTTCAAGAACAAAGAACGATCACGTAATGTTAAACTCTGTTGACTTAGAATAATTAAATTGAGCAAGAAGCAATGTTTAAAAATATATTGTAAAAAATAAAAAAATAATTTGAACGTTATTGTACATTGTTTGCTCGCATAATTAATATGTAAGACGTAGCTTCCAGTAGGTGAAAGAATTTTTAAAATCGGTCCAGATGTTAGAGCCTATATGATGCAAATAAACAATGAAACATTTCCTCTTTAAAATATTAGTGTAGATTGATAAACTGATTGACTGCCGATTTTTATTGTAGAACTGACCGCGACAATTCCGAAATTTAAACCATAATATACCTTGGCCCCTGTACTCCCCTTCCCCTGCGCCTGCTGCCCCTTCCCAGACGAAGCACTACTCCCGCCTTTACTCGTGCCCTGCGAACTTCCTTTACTAAGTGCCGATGCACCGGTTTTACTAGCTGGACCTGGTGGCTTTGACCCTGTTAGGATTCTGTAATACAAATAGCGAGTCAACAAATTAATATTCAGTTCATTTTATAGTATTCATATGCAGGAACGTTTGGTATGCTTTTTTTACTAGGATCCCCACGTACCGTCCAGTTGCACCACGCGCGACAGGAGCAGGCTTCGCCATTGGTTCTTTATCATCATTCTCCTTCCGTTTCTTTCTTTTAGAAACTTCGTCATCTGCGGCATCAGTCTCGTGACTTTCGTCTGTGTATTGTTTCTTTGTAGCACTAGTTGATTCTTCTTGATTAGCAGACGCCGTACTGGCATTATGTTGAGCTGCTTCTAAATTGAAATATATGTATGATGAGATATCTACAATTATAAACCAAACGCACTTTATTCAACGGAGCTTTGTCGTTATATAAATATACGCCTTGTCATATAAGACTTAAGGTCGGTACAATTATCTGATAGAAGATATCGTCTCACGGATGTATGTTTTAATACGCTACGAAATTTCCGTATATGTCATATCATATATTAGAGACGAGGACTAATTTTTATTTTTTAGTCCGTCAGGTAGATTATTTAAAAATATAAAACACGATTTTTTTGTGTAATCTATATATATATATATATATATATATATATATATATATATAACTCAAAGGTGATTGACTGACATAGTGATCTATCAACGCACAGCTCAAACCACTGGACTGCAGGAAATTTGGCATGCAGGTAGATGTTATGACGTAGGCATCCGCTAAGAAAGGATTTTGATCAAGTAAAATAGGGAATGAAACTTTATTTCAGGTATTTTACACGATATAATGAATAAATATTCGTTAGAAATGCTGCTCAAAGTAACTTTACGACGCGGACGAAGTCGCGGGAAAAAGCTAGTCAATATACAAGGGCGATAAATTAAGTCAAAATGTCGCATGATGTCATCACACCTTTGTACATAGTTGTGACGTAACAAGCCCACTCCTTAACTTTAATACCTTTTATCTAAGCCATTCTTAAAAGTTAAAAGATATGTATCTAATATTTATCTGTTATCTGACTGACCGACTAAATACCGACTGACCGACTAATAACCTTTTTTTACAAAGTCATGATCCTTATTTATGTTCTGCCGTTCCACGACCGACGAGATTCAACGTATCTTCCGTCAGATATGCACCGATCCTCATGTGTAAAAATAGAGTTATTATTATAACAATTTTTTCAAGCAAAACAGTTAACTAATAGATAGTGTTGTTAACTTGATTATTATTGTTCTGAGTAGGTACTGTATACGAACATTGAGTCGAGTAACTTAGGTGCTTTGTTCGTGTTCAATTACATATTGGTAGACTGGAAACGCCACCGCAATATAAACGATTTTACGTTTTCAGCTATACCTAAACCTTCAAGTTTTAATGCAGTGGTGGTCTCAGTCCAAATCAAAAAATAATCATAACCCAACAAGCAAAATAGTCTTATGAAGTGATTATTAAATAACTTTGCTCGTCATATGAACATTTGTATATCTATGTGATATACAAAGTTATTTAATCAGTTTAGTTCCATTAAAATGTCATTATGATGTTCAATAAACAATTTCAAGACAAAATTTAACGATCGTCGTTAAACTTTGTGTCACAAACTCTCCAATCTAAAGTAATACCGTTTCATTCGTAAAAAGGTTTTTGACACTAGAATATACCACACGGTCAAACATTAAAACCATTTTCAAAATTATAAACGTTTTTATGAATATATGAGTATTTGAAACATCTCGGACATCATAACGAGTTACACCTACGACGACGCGAAGTCGAGAAAATGCTGCAATGTTCGTGTTGAATAAATAAAAGTCATAATAAAGATATAATTACAACATTTAATTATTTTACTGCTCAATAAATGCTTTAAACTAATTCTTAAATTCCCAACTATGTACACAGTTATTTTAACAACTTTATCGTCATCAGGTGAGTAATATGTCCACTACTGGAGCACAGACTTTTACTATGGATGGGTTCAGATAGGGAGAACGAGCCATAATCCGCGACGCAGGCCCAGCACAGTCCGGACCGGATTAGCAAAAGTAGCAAATGCTACGGGCCCCCGAGCAATTGGGAGCCCCGCTCTGGCTTAATGCGGCACTGAGCACAGTTGCAGATGCAGCCGGGACGAACGATTTCACGTACCTACCGAAGCTCAGAGAGGCTAATAAATTTTTGATCACCCACCCTACGACCGGCTAAAGTGAAAGTTGCTGAATCAATGTGGAGATCGCAGACTGATCGCGTTAACTACTGCGCCCCCAACCTTCTCATATAATATATTAATTATGGTAGCTTCAATAAAACAGTTATTAGAATAGGGATCCTCTTTTTTAGAGTTGGTTAAAAATATAGATGAAACAAACAGCTGTTTATAGCAATTCGGTGAAGCAAAAGTAAACTTTTGTGTTTGAGTGCATAATTATAGTCCTCTAATTTTTGAAGATTCCCAAAACGGACAAAATGAAACTTGTGAAGTTATTAAAAATATTTTTGTTAGTAATAATAATAGTTTTATAATAATGTACTAATGACTTGTACCTAAATGGTTGACCTAATCAAATAATAAACTTGTCATGTTGTTTTTGACAAAGCTTTGAGTTTCTGGGAGTGCTAAAGTAAATATCCCCATAAACATTCTATTTTTGTCTCTCTAGGTAATTAATATTATGTGATTCCTTAAAGTAGGGCAACAAGAAAATAATGAGATTTGAAGAAACATTATGACTGTTTTTCAATAAACATGCAAGTATTCAGTAATTTAATTTGAATTATAACTGACCAATTTTATTTATTTATGAATAAAATAATTTACGTACACAAACAATTTATTATAAAGATAAACAATCTCCTTATAATGTCAATTTTTCAATCTGTATTAGATTTATGAGATTACAAGTTATAACATATTAAAAAATATATATATAAATATATTATCAAGCAGTTTAAGCGATTTTTGTGTAAATAATGCAATCACTCACAATTAGCTCTCAAATCCTAAGATTTCCAGAGATATAGACATATCAACTGGTAAAAATAATAAAGTGATAAAATTTTATGACTTTCTCTTTTTTTTTAATAAGAATATATCCAAATACCATCTCTGTTTTCTGAATTATTCCCTTTGTCCTGAGCCGAAGAATCCTTAGAATCAAAATGTTCTGCCTGCGCTAGGCCATCCATGTTGTTTCTTTTGTTACTGTCACTATTGACATTTGCATTGCCACTTTTCTTACTGCTGTCATCCCTTGCCCGAATGGTGTGTGTCCCTCGAAAATTATCTGTATAACAACAGACATTGTTCTTATAACAAAATATGAATGCAACAGAAATGCTTATGTTTATAACATTAACCTATATCACAGTTGAATACATTAATAATTATAACATCTATTGCTATTTTCATATAGTTCAGATAAAAATAACTTTTTTGGATTATCAACCAGGCAGTATTATTAACTTTTCTTTCACACATTCAATTGTTAAAATAATCATAACAACTACCATTCTGATAATGAATACAATGATGAAATATTTATCTACAATATTCAACAATAGTGATCATTGCAAAAATAATATCATGCAAAGCAATAATTTAAAGATTCTATAAACTTATTAGTCTAATACAAAGTCATAGTATAAGAAAATCAATACTACAGTATCTTTACAATATTTATAAGAAACTAAATATATGTGATCACATAAAAAAGGTTTTGATTTCTATAAACGGTAGTTATAAGGAATATTTTTCAGTTGCTTTCGTGAACTACTAAGTAAAACATTGAGGTTGGTCATGTTGAAAAGGACACAAGCATAGGACTTATCAATAAAACAATTGATTTAATTTGAGCTTGCCACATTAATCGATACATTTAAACGGGTAATTATTATAATTAGAAGCAAGGATATTCAAGAATATGAGTAGTGCGGCGTGCATCGCAAAGAAACGATATCATGCAACAATGAACTCCCCTTTATTGATCGAGGGCGTCCTCCTTTGCATTTCACGACGTCGTTTACGATTATGTATTAATTTCTTGCTGGGCACGACTATTTTCAGTACAAAAATCAATCATTAGAACCGCAAATCGGTTTAGCAAAGGACCGCCACGAAGTTGGCATCAAGGAGCGGCCATCATTTGTCGACAGCTCGTGTAACACGCCTTATTACTTTAAAATATAAGGCAAAACTTCCTTACAAAAAAAACACTGCACCGATAAAAACGCCTAAATCAGCATATTTCCTGGAGAGGACACGGTTATGGTTAGAACTACTTCTTTCAATATTTGATTTTATTAACTTGTTACTTCGCAATGCAATACAACATGCATGACGCTTGAGTTGACGGTTATCTGTCACTAGAGCTGTAGCAAATCGTATGTATTCGGTACTGAGTAACGGGTGCGCCGTCTAGTACCGAGTAACGAAACGTTACTCACGAATGCATTTCGTTACTCGCATTTTTCGTATCTACCAAGTACCAATACTTTTTCAGTTTACGTACTAGTGCCGTTGATGCGTGTATTGAAACGCTTGTTGATGGTATCTGCCTACCGATATTACGCATGCGCCCATTGCGCGCGCTTATTCGATGAGTTTAAAATGTAGGTACGTTACAAAAACACGTTTGTTATAGAATAATTTGGAAATTACTCGTCCAAGTATTTTACTGTTGAGTAAAAGTATTGTGTGTATAAAAGTTTGATTTTGGTACAGAAACAAGTTAAGAAAGTATTAATAACAAAATAGAAATAGGTATATGTTTTGATTTATTATTATTGCGTATTTTCTTTTTAATTCTTATCTTTTAAGGTTTATTATGATTAAGACACTTGAGTTTTAACTATTTATTGCATGAGGCAATATCTAGAAGAACGCATTATTTTTTATACCCCGAACTTTCAAATATGTCTGAGAAATATTTATCAGTGATGACTACCTCGGTACCATTTGAAAGGATTTTTTCCAAATCGGTCCAAATATTAAAGGAAAAGATTTTATTTTTAAATATGAACTATAGATTTCTGCCCTAAAATGTCTAATTTTATTATAAATAAATGATTTTCTACTCCCATTTGGTGCTTTTGAATTATAACACTTTTCAGTACTTATTTAAGTAACGTTACTACAAATAACGAATGTTGCGATATCATATTGTACGATTCGATTCGTAGCTCTGACATAAATATGAGGTATTGGAAGTAACGAGTAACGTAACGATACGAAAGTAACGAGTAATGATTTTTAGAGTAACGAATACATACGGGTACAGATTTATTCGTTACTTTTACAGCTCTATCTGTCACAGTATAGAGATACGCAAAAAGAATCGATGCAAATATTTTCATATCGATACTTTTAAAGAATCGATACTTTTGAAAAGTAACGATTCTATTTCTGTTAATATAAATAAATTACCAAAATAGAAAAAAATACTACATCTTTAATAAAAATATTTGTTGTAAGCCTTGGAAATGAATTTTTGAAAAATAATAAGTATTATGAAAATAATTATTTTTCCTGAAATTTAAGAACATTAATGAATTTCAAATGTTAAATAGTATGTATTTAAACTTTTTGTATATAAACACACACACTATGTAAACAAGCAATTTTCATATAAAAAAAGATATATAATACGATTTCCATGAATGTTTTTATGGTTTGCTGGGGGTTTCGGGAGCAATACTAGCAAACTAGCTAGAATTAATTTACAAGAAAAAAAAATAACGAGCAAAATTCTACCATTCAAGTATGTACTTTTGCTAACAAGGTATCTCTTGTTGAGAATATTAAAATAAAACACAAAATAATTTAAAAATAAAAATTTTTAGGTATTTGGATTTTATATTTCAATTTTAAATGAATTGTTGTATTTTAAATGAGTTGTATCTCCAAGTGATGTTAGTAAAACCTGAATCTAAGTAAATTAATGCTTGTGCTTATCAGATACTGATGCGTATGAGAAACACGCAGGACTCACGCTAACGATGCCAATTAACGGCTTACGAGCGGGCCGCTATAACCAATGCTCCACGGCCAGCACTTGGCTCTAAACATGTTAAGTAAATATTTTATTTTAGTAAATGGACCCTTCAGATACTTTTTAGCTAAAATCTAGATGTTGTAGAATTAAGTAGCAGAAACACCGCAGTCTATTCTGTTATCTATAAAGTTCTCGATTCAAGTATCGATACTACTTACTTTTAATTCAATAAATTATCTAGTATAGTATCGATAGTTTTAGTAATTCATGCTACTCTACTAGGGATATGCAAATTTGGACCAGAGTTGCCAACAAAAAAAAAAGATGCTGTAAAGCACGTAATCACTCTTATTCCTTGTACATGCTTACTCTGGTTCTAAGCTCCATATTGTGAATATTTAAATTTCTTGATATTAGGCGTCCGGATACAATAATAATATATATAAATAGATTAGGGAAATACATAGATAGATATATATATACATTTAGACAATCTTAAAAGGTCGATTACTATTATCGACGTTATGTTCAAGATCGGGGTGCTGCTAAAAAAAGTCTGCCTGCACTAGATTCCATTTTCGTTTTAACTGGATAATAGTTAACTGAATTAATAAAGAGGAGGTAAGAACTTGGTGAAAGAACCAATTTTCCGAAATGGCAAGTATGCCATATTTTTTAAATCTAAATATTTTTTTTTATACGTAAAAAAACGGAAAGAACGAAGTTATCTGAGTAAATGAAATCTCATCGTGTGTTTTACTTAATTATTTTTTTTGTAGATTGAACAATTTTGGCCTACTTTAGATAATTTCATACAGTCCTTTCAAGAATATGATAAATAGTCATAATGAATTTTCAAAAAGATAAAGTATAAAAAAATCAGAACAATGATGCCTCTCCCCACCTTAATAAACAAGGACACACCCTATGTAGTTTGTAACTAAAACGAGATAGATCACTATGTACCTAAGGAAATTATGAAAGTCATAAAAGAGACGTGGAGTACAAAACTCAAGGATTTTCAAAAAACCTTACCTTGCATTTTTTTTTTTGGTGCTGTTTCTGGTGCCAAGATGTGATACCCTAAGCAATTGCTTATTTTGCTTAGGGGCTAATCCGACACTGCTAAGTACACAAAATGGTGTTTTTGCTTTGCTTTTTGCAAAGCTTCCCATAACGTGACACAACGACAACATCACAGAACAAGTGATCACAATCGCAAAAATATGTATAATAGTTTATTAAGCAAACTTCAGCTACGTGAAAAATGGTTGCACTAAGAATATAAGATTTCATAATGTTGAGACTTTTCGCGATTGCGATCAGTGTGGTTAAGTCTTTATGGCTCGTTTCACAAAAAGAAGCTGCAAACGCGTATTTCCTTATTTAACACGTATTGATATTTTATCACAAATTACACCACAGAAAGAACCCCATTATGCTATAGTAAACGGAGTGGATCCTGCAGTGTGTTAACAATACTTATAACAATGTCATACGGTTTCCTGGTACGGTGTTCGAAGGGGTTTATTAAGACTTAGATCTAATTAGCATGGGGATTGAAACGGTCGAGTTATTTCAAAAACATTAAATAATGCCAAGTGTTTTGAGTCTTTTAATATGTATGTTAGCGTTTTTATGACCTAAGTGAGAAATCGACACTTTTATTTATTTTGTTTCTGAAAATCACAAAAAAATCTCATAGTACAATGTAAAATTGTAAACTGTCCTGTTTTAAAATATATCAGAAAAAAATATAATTATTATGAAGATAAAGGTATCTAGGAGTATGAAATTATTGTTGGTTACAATATTAATATGAATTTGCATTCCTTGTTTTCTCTTTGAAAATCTGTTCATTTCAAACACAGAAAATCTCCTTATCCACTAAATAAGTGGGTTTAAGATACGATTAAAGATACATACCCTATTTCCTACAAATGGTTAAAAAATTGGCTGTATGGTCATAGATTCATTTCGCTTTCCCATAATAATTTTATTATATCACTTCTTCTTTTCTCTACGTAAAAAATTACAGTTTTTATTATCATATTTTATTATTTATAGGGTAATAAAATAAGTTTCTGTTCGTAAAACTTTAAAGAACCAACAGCATCATTTTAGTGCCAACAGAAGATTAATAGTGCAAAAATTACTAGTGTATTGATGATATAATACTTGGTAAGCTCATTCTGTCGAGTTGTAGGTATCGTCTTAAATTAGGCAGATTGAGAAAATCATGTAACATAAATATTAAATGAGGAAGTATTTTAAGAAAAAAAAAATAAAGTACT